CTCATTTGTAACGATGCTGCCGCCACGGTTACAGCGATGCTCCGGCACCTCCACGGGCTCGGACTTGACGTCGGCGAGCAGCGCCGCGCCGGAGGAGCGCGAGGAGGAGGAGAAGATGAGGCGCCCGCCATGCGCCGCGGCAGCCAAGAGCTACCTCTCCGGCGGAAGAGCGGGGCCGCAGGAGGCGTCGGGTACTCGAGCGGCGGCTAGTTGCCACCCTCGAGATGCTCCAGTACGCCGTGCAGGGTGCTCCCCGGCACACCCCACCACAGCCGCCGGCCGTCGGCGTTGTGGCGCCCCCGCACAGCCGCGTTGTTGGTGGAGGCGACCTGCTCCTGGTGACGACGCCGGAAGTAGTCCGTCCAGAAGGCGTGGTTGGTGAAGGATTACTCCGGGCGCGCGTGCACCTCCTCGAGCAGGGAGGCCCGGACCCATGCGATCTCAGTGGGACGGCTGTCGTCGAGCGATGGCGGGGGGACGGGCACACTGCCCGCGCTGAGCCTCCACGAGCCCGGCACGCGCATGTCCGGCGGCGTCAGGTAGTTGGCCTCCTGGAGAAGGTAGGCCTCCCACTCGTGGAGGGTACGGCGGTCGAAGCCATTCGCTGCCGCACCTTCGCCGAGGAAGCGCTCGCCCATCGTCGCTGCAGGCTTGACAGAGGACATAGGGGGGCGCCGGCGAGAGAGTAGGCTTCGGCGAGGGAGATATGTGTGGCCACTAGCGGGGGAGGGGGGTGGAGGCGGCTTTTATAGCAGAGGGTGGGCGACGAAGCGGCGGCAGACGTGTGGACGCGTGGCGGGAGAGGAAGGGGTGTGCGGCGGCGCGCCTTCGCTGCGCCGCCCATGAGGAATCAATGGAAGGCTGACCGACGGCCTTGGCATTGATTCCCCGCAGGAAACCAAGGCGATGAAGGCGGCGAACACGGCTGGTCGCTGACTCAGTGGCCCCACTCGGCTTTCGCGCCAAAACCGTTTACCCCGGCACCCCCGAGCGCCCCCAGCGCGCCGGGTTCGGCCTGGGTACGCCGGCCCTATCCGGCGAAAACTAGGCTTCTGGAGGCGCGACTGGGCCGATTGTTTTGGCGTCGGCGATAAAAAAGTGCCCTCAGAGGGCCTGTTGGGGGGTGCGAGTGAAGATGCTTTTAGGAAGACAATGCAGGTCCAAAAAAAAATTGACAACTAAAACTCCCTCTTTATTCATTGGTGATAACACTTACATCTTTAAATAACAGAGGAAGAAGCTCATTAGGAGCAATTTCAATCCACTCACTACAGAATTTAGATCTAGCTACACTAGCTAATTCATGAGCAAGAGCATTTGCTTCTCTTGACAGAATTCAAACCGAATTGAACTAAACTCACATGCCAAGTGGTAACAATCATCAATGATGGCTGCTGCATTGCCCGCATACTGACATCAATGCAGGTCCAAATTAATGTAGATAGATCCCTAAATGAAGCGAGACAAATTATCATTCATATAATAGATATAGATTATCTCTTCCTTTTTTAACAAAAAAAAATGCTAGCAACCATGTCGAGACCGTGGAACCCCGTGCTAGCGCTGCCCCTCCTTTATTTAGCCCCCCAGCGCTTCCTCACTCCCTCGCCGTCGGGGCAATGCCCCTCACGGTGGTCCACAGCGGCAGGTGCTCTCGAGCGTAGCTCCCCCCTCCCGAGCATGGCTAATAGAAGAGCCTGTTGCTGGCTATATAGTTGTGCCATGTCATCTAAAGTCTTTGTAAAAAGTTAGTTTGTATAATAGACTGACTATTAGCTTGGCTACAATATCAAAGGATTCACCATGAGGAGAGGCAGGAAAATACACATGATTGGTGTAGGGAGTAAAACGCCGGCTAAAAGCTCACTCACGGGCTACATACAGGCGGACGCGGCTCGTCTGACGTACGGCCCACACACTGACGTGTGGGCCCGGACCCACCCATCAGCGGCCCAACGGCAGGGGGCCGTACGTCAGGGGATCCGGCTCCCATACAGGCTGTACACTCTTGTTTACCGTGATATAGCCCGGCTGTACGTCAAGCGCCGGCTTGAGTCTCTCTCTTCACTTATCAGTGCTCCACGTAGGACTTTGCTGACATGGAATACGCTACAGCCGGCTAACTAGGTACTACTATACTTGCTCTAAGGTCTCGTTGGCGCCGCCGCGGGTCTAGTCCGGCCTCGTCCCAGTGTCCTCCTCTCATGTGCTGCTCGTCTGTCAGAGGTGCCCGGTCCCATGGATCCCGGCCTTGGATGTTGCCCCTATTCACATAGGGCGTGTTTGGTTGCCCGGGTGGCTTTAGGATGCATTGCATGGGGGAACCTGGGTGACCACGGCCTGGTTGAGCCGATGCAGAGTTGAGCTAAGATTGGTGTTTGGTGAACTTGTACGTCATGGCTGTACGAGGTGTAGTTCTTCTGAATATTGCTGAAATTGATGCGTAAGGCAGAGCATATGCAGCAGCGTGGAGCGATGGGATCCGGGGTTCGGTGGTTCCAGACGGTTGGATCCGGCGAGCGGCAACGGGGCTTGGTGGAGGGGACGAAGATGGCCGCACTTGACATGGCAGCGGGGGCCGCCGTGCTTGTCGAGGAAACTCACCAGTGAATGAGGTGACGTCACTTGACAAGGGCGGCGGGGGCGGCGCTTTGTAGAGGACGACGGCGACGCTTGGTAGAGGAGAACGGAGGTGGTGGTGCTTGACGAAGAAGGATTCAGCGGCGCTTGGTCGATTGGATCTTGGCGGCGGCGCGTGACGAAGAGGCAGAAGGGAGAGGAAGGAGACGAAGGAACGAGCCTGCATAAGAGATACGCAGGAATCCTATGTTCCCCTCGGCCTGGCTGAGAGGCCTTCTTTTGCATCCGCCGGGCCAGGATGAAAGGCGCATACAGCTTACCAAACGACCCAGATTTTGCACGATGGATACGGGCCAGATGCAACACAAGGAACCAAACACGCCCATAGACGCCCAAAAAATTGGATCAGCCCCTGCATCGCTCTTGGCGACTTGGGGGCGCCTCCAGGCCGACACCACCAGTGCCCTCTCCTCCATTCATCCTATCCTCGCTGTTGCTTTTGTGCCAGATGGGCAAAGCCCTCGCAGAGGGTGGCGTCGGGGCAACACGTTTTGTATGACGCGGAGGCGGGACCCATGGGGGAGGCTTTGCTAGAATCTGGATGGGACGGGCCTATGAGTGGCTTCCCGTCGGGAGGCGTGACGGCAGGCGTGCTCTGGTGGGCTCAATTCTTAGGCCGGGAGGCGTTGCGCCGATCTAGCGGGTGTGTGTGTCTAATCTAGCGGCGGCTGCTCTCCACGCGGGCATACGTCTGCGATGGTGATCTGCCTTTCGTGCCCCAGTTCCGGCCGTCCGGCCGTGCCGGACCTATGGTTGATGAGCTAGGCAGAGCTCTCTCCGGCGAGGTGGTAGTGGGTGATGGTGTGATCTGCTATCATTGTTAGTCCTTGTGGGAACACTCCGGCATGTGGCAGTGGCCTCGCCATGGAATATGGTGGCCACCAAAAGGTCTTCCTGAGGGTTCCTCCCTCTAGATCCGGTGATCTACTTTGGTAGTGAGATACAAACAATGGATGACGGCCTGACGCAGAAGGATTGTTGTGCAGCTGCGGCGGGTGCACATCGCATGGAGCCGCTAGGATCACGGGAAAGTGATGGCGGCAAAGCATTGGTGGCGTTGATGGTGGTGCTACTTGAGCACCCAGTCTCAGAGCGAAAGCCTAGGTTTGACCTGAGTTGGTTATAATACCTAGCAAATGATGATGTTTTTACGTTGGTATCTTACTGAAGGCATTTATCGGATATGCTCGGACTGATTTTTCAGGATGAAACACTAGATTTTAGCCATTGGTAGTTGGATCCAGTGACGATGGCGCTTGAGTATTGCTCCCTCTTCGAAGGTGTTGCTGTTTAAGATCCTTGCCGTCCTTGTGGTGCCATGAGATGGTTCGTGTGGATATGGTCATTATTGTAGTTTGCTGATCGGTCTGATCGTTGTTTTTTTTGTTTGTGCATAACTTTGTTCATAGATTTTACCATTTGTTGGCGTGCTTTTCATGTGCGTGCGTTGGTGTTGACTATGTCAATCCTAGCTCTACAGAGGTCGGGCGAGTGACCATTGTGTTTGTATTCACTCGATGTTCTACTTTGAGCCCATAAAATTCATCCTTTGTCGGATGAAAAACCTACGCTTATTCTAGAGGTTGATCTTTAATTAACTACTTTAAAATGGTAACACGTACCTTTCTATGAAAATTATATGGTCAACAATGACGGCATATATGATCTTTGTAGGCACCATCTTGAGTCTGTCATTCCTGGCTATTGCCCTACTTATGACACTCCTAATGCTGCAAAAGAAGAGAATGAGAGAATATTTCAAGAAGAATGGGGGCTTGATACTGAAAAATGTGGAAACCTTACAGATTTTCACGAAGGAGGAAATAAATAAAATCACACATAACCATTCAGAGTTTCTTGGCAAAGGGGCCTTTGGTGAAGTCTATAAAGGATATCTTCCTGATGATGCCATGGTAGCAGTCAAGTCCTTTATCCAGGTGAAGGAAACTACAATGGAAGAATTTACCAAGGAAGTATTGATCCAATCGAAGATGATTCACAAGAATATTCTCAAGCTCTACGGTTGTTGCTTGGAGGTGGATGTTCCAATGCTAGTGTATGAGTTTGCTGCTAAAGGGAGTCTGGGAGACATTCTCCATCTCAATGAAAACCAAAAACTCCCCATAGACTTGCGTTTGGATATTGCTATTGGATCTGCAGAGGGGTTGAAATACATGCACTTGTACGCATCTCAATCCATACGACATGGTGATGTCAAACCGGACAACATACTTCTAGATGGTGAGTTAGTACCAAAGATCTCAGACTTTGGCTTATCAAAAATGCTTAAAGTCGATGAATATTTCACCAAGATTGTGGTTGGGTGCATGGGTTACATAGATCCCGTCTTCATCAAAACCGGCCTCTTAACACAAAAGAGTGATGTTTACAGCTTTGGAGTCGTTCTATTGGAACTTATTACCAGGAGAAAAATTGTATACGATGAAAATTGTAGCCTCATCATGGAGTTCCGCAAAGTTTATGTGAAAGATAAGAGTGGAAGGGCAATGTTTGATAAGGAGATTGTAACTGAAGAAGATATCTTGGTCGTAGAAGAAATCGGGAAACTAGCAATTGAATGTCTCGAGGAAGATGTAGAAGACCGGCCAGATATGGGGGAGGTAGCACAAAGACTCGTGATGCTTAGGAGAAACAAGAAGCATGGTAAAGCACGTCCACATCCCTTCCAGGCTAATCAGTATGATAAATGGTACGGCCAACAAGAATGTACTGACCTCAACGGAAATGACGAGGCCGCGTTTTTATTTGCTAATCCATAGGTTAGGGAAAGCACTAGACGGCCATAAGGGTGTGTGTTTATTTTAAGTAAGCTTCATTCAATACATTTAAGAAAATATGAGTGGCATGAGTGACAGTATTGAAGTGTGATTTACATTGTGGGTGGTTGGATGACTAGCAAGATAGTAGTGCTACCATCTCACATATGATTAAACCCCATGACTGACGTTTGATATCTACTTATTCCGGATTATTCTTTTAGTCAGAGGTGGCGTTCCCGTTGCAAACGATGTGTCTGTGGTCACTTTTGATCTGCATAACTCTAGTCTTGAGCATGCACCGTCTGAGCGTGCCCATTGTGCGAGGACA